CATCCTGTCCAGCCACACTCACGTGGACACCCACACCCCTCAGCAATTCAAAAGGGCAAAGATCTTTTTCCTTCACCTACTGCTGAAACCAAGAGTGCAATCCCCACTCCTAGAAGGACATGTGCCATCAGCCATGAGCCATGCATTCCTCCCGGGGCCATGTTCTTTGTTTTCTTATTTGTCTTGAATGAATTTTAAAAGGAAATACTGTAATAAAAATGTTACCCTGAAGGTAAATGAGTGTAATTGTGAGACAGACACACCTTTTGTTAGTTTGTTTTAGACCAGTGACCCTGTTCTGTGATGTCCACGCAAAACGCGCTGAGGACTCTGCCGAGCTCAGTCCCCTCTGGGTCTGCAGCTGTGAGAGGGGTTTTGGAAGCACCCGTGGCTCCTTCCAGATGCGTCCCCTGAGCCCCTGGCTTTCTGTTGCTTGTCTGGTGTCACCGACCTTTGTTGCACACGAACACACTGAGCAGTGAAGTAAGCAGGCACATGCTGCTGATGGCAGGGGTCCTGGGCCCCCTCCCCTCCCTGCTCTGTCTTTGGCCTCATGGAGGGGGTTCCAGATGGGCCCACACTCCCCGCCAGCTGCCTGCATCAGGAGCGTGTGTCTGCGAGATGCCTGTCAGGTGCTTGGATAGTCACTTACTCACGTCTGAAACAATGTAGAAATCAATGTTTTGAAAATAATGATCTCAGACTTTCTAAGTTAAATTTTAAATAATTGATTGTTTTCCATATCGTATGCTGTAGAAATGCTCAAACGTGCATATAGGATTAAGTCCTTAGATGTTCTTTTTCTTTAAGAAATACCCTCTAAAGTTGTACCCATGGACACCGTGCCCTCACTATCGCCCCTCTGCACACTTCAGAAGCAGCACAGTAGCAGCTCTGTACACTTGGCTAGCGGGAAAGTCCCTGTCTTCTTTATTTCTTAAAACAAACAGAAAGCAAAAAGCCAGTTCTGTTGCAAATGGTTGTCGTTGGATTCTGAGGGAGGGAGAAGGGTGGGCCTGTTGTCCTGGGTGGGTCCCTCGTGCCTCCTCCCAGGGGTCCAGCTGGGCCAAGGTGAAGCATTGCTGTAACTCAGAGCCTCCTGCTCCCACAGTACCCATGTCCACAGTGCTCTGGACCCCTCCCGCCCCCACAGCAGCAGTGGCTTCTCCCTCCTGTGTTGTTCGACCTCTTGTACAAGCCTTTGCTGTTCTGCCATAGGCCTGGACCTGGCAGGGAGAATACAACCAAACCCCTCCCTTTCCACACCCCACAGCTCTGTAGAGCTCTGAACCCTCTGCCCTTTGACCTTTTGTATTTAAGTCTGTGTACTGCAAGGAAGCCCGATGTCAGGTAGATCTGTTAGAGTGTGAGGTTATTTAAGACGTAATAAAGCAGTTTGACATAAGGGGCTCCTGTCGTGATTGCTCACCATCTGTGTCTGCTCCTGGAGGCTGTGCCTGGGCCAGAGGCCACCCTGCAGTGTGGAGAGCCCACCTGCCACCAGACGCCGGCCTCAGTTTCTGCTCCCTCTTCCCCTCCCCTAAACTCTCAGGGTGGGGTGGACTGTGTCTTACTAGAAAAAATGAGCATTTGCCTCAAGAATGTGAATAAAACCAGAGACTTCATGTGTCACTGAGCTGCTTCCTCACAATTGGATGACAGGATTTCCCTGAATCCTACGGAATCTGCAGGACCCACAAGAGGTCCCTGGGGTTTTCGTGGCTCAAAGTGCTGGTCTCAGTGCAAAGCGTCCCCACTGGGGTATCCCAAGGGAGGAGGGGTCCTGGCTGGCTCTGCTGCTCCAGCTGGGTGTGAGGGGCTCCCTCAGCCACTTAGTTGTCACAGCCCAGGCTGTTGGGTTCATTTGAGATGGGACCCATGCTATAAAGCAGCTGTTCGGACAGGTGAGCATCAACTGTGCCTGCGTGGGGCCACCTGTGCTATTTGAGGCTCTCAGGGTGGGGGTACTTGGCAGGCTGGCATGGGTGGGTTCGCCTGGCTCCGAGCTCCTCCACTTCTTCCTGAAATAACTGTTTTTCATAGATGTGTGGGCTTTAGCCCTGGGGCTATCTCAGAAGAGCCCTGTGTAGAAGAGAGTGTCAGGGAGCACCTGAGGTCCCTCCTGACCCTGCCTGGGCAGGGTCATGCCTTGGGGCAGTGTCTGAGCATAGCTGGTGGCGCTACTAACCACTTCCTCTTGGAATTTCTCCGTCCCACAGCCCAGCTCTTGTCCCTTCCTTCCCCTTAGCTCTGACCTAGGACAGCAGGTGCCTTAGCTCCCCTTAGCAAAGCAGCTGGTGAAACTGGTCCCAAATATGGCATTCAGGCAGTGGCACCTGGCGAGGGCGGGGTGGCAAGGGGGGGTCGTGGCTGAGCCACACCTCAGGTGGAGGATTCAGGCAGTGGCACCTGGCGAGGGCGGGGTGGCAAGGGGGGGTCGTGGCTGAGCCACACCTCAGGTGGAGGATTCAGGCAGTGGCACCTGGCGAGGGTGGGGTGGCAAAGGAAGGGTCGTGGCCGAGCCACACCTTGGGAGCAAGATTCAGACTTCCACAGGTTGAGGGGGGCTGGGAGCCCCTCAACACGTCCCACATGTGCTGCCTGCACCCTGAGTGCCAGGCACCCCTTTCCCTTCCCCTCCCAGTCTGCCTTGCAGCCCCCACAATGCTCGAGAACCTGGCCCTGCCCCACCTGTGGAGGTGTACATACCTGTCAGGTGCTGGCAGGTGCAGGTGAGTGCACCTCCCCTGTCCCTAGCATTTTTCCCCCAGCCTCTTCAGCCTTCTGGCCACTCCAGACTGCCCTGTGTCCTTGGGGCATCTCCGAGGGCCACATCAGCTCCATGCTAAGGATTCTGTGCTGACCCCTGTTGCCCTGCCCCTGGCAGAGCCTGACCCTCAGCAAGGAGCCCACAGCAGGGGCACCCCGTGCTGCCCACACACATGACACAAACATGCCACTCAGTGTTGCTGCAGCCACGCCAGTGGTTGGGTTGCCAAGAGGGCTGACCCAGGGCAGCTGTGTTCCTGGGAGAAGCAGGCCTGGCCACACTGCCCCATCCCCCAGCATGGCTCCTCAAAATCCAGGGTAACTTTGGGCAAGTTACTGGGCCTCTGTACCTCAGGATCTAAAGACTTGCTTCATGGGGTAAAGGAGGGGGCTTGTGGAAATCGCGAGCCCTGCCCAGCCCAGGCACTTGCCATTTGGAGGGATGCTGGTCCCTGGGCAGCCCTGGTCAAGACCGTGCCCCTCCGCTCCCCCTCCTCACTCCCTATGGTCTGCTCCATCCTTGACCTGTCTCATCTGCTGAGCCAGGCACAAGGCAAAGTGTGCCACGACCAAAGCAGCCCAAACAGATGCCTGTCCCATGTGCAGCTGTGGGTGAGGGTCCCAGAGGAGGGCCTTGGGCCTGGGAAGCCGGTCCCAGCCTGGTGACCGAGGGGTGCGCTGACCTGGGGGAAGCTCCTGGCACACCTCCATGGGGAGCCTCAGCCCCTCCTCCTGGCTACTTCCTCTTCTGGGTGCTGAGCCCAGCCAGCAGAAGCTGGCTGAGTACAACCCTGAGCTGGGAGTACAACCCCAAGGAAAGCCATAGCCTAGAGAGCCAGGGGCGGCCCTTCCCCCACCCCCACCTCAGCCTGAATGACAGGAGCCAGCACCTGCACCTCCCCCAGCCCCAGGCCTCCAGAGGACAGGCCGAGGTTGGTTTGGTTTGGAGTGTACACGCCCTAGTGCCCATCCCTAAGAGCAGCTCTGGGGCTGGGACCTGCTGCCCCTCCCTCGAAGTCCCTGGGGGGAGGCCCCGTCTCCTCCGCAAGTCCTTGGCCTCTGAGGACTTCCGGGTGCTCCGGTGGCGGCAGCGTGAGCGAGCGCAGGTCGAGTGCCAGGGTGGATGTGAGCCCCTGGCCTCTGAGTCCAGGACCCCGGATTGCGCAATTGAGGTCTTCGGAGGAAGCCACAGCCCTTGTTTTCTCTGAAGTGGGAGGGGCTGCCCTGGCAGCCTGAGACCCAGGGTGGACAGCTCCCCTGGTCAGCGGCCGGGCAGCGCTCCTGCGTCCAGGAGCACGCTGGACAGGTAGGTCATTGGGTAGAGCCCCGCGGCGGCGGCCTCTGCAGACCTTCAGAAGTCTCTGGTGGCCGGCCCCAGTGCCCGTCCTGGGAATAGCCATCCACAAATGCGGCTCAGGAATCCCTCCGTGGCAACGCCGGTGGTCAGCCTGGAGAAGTGGCCGAGTTTACACAACCAGCCAGGGAAAGTTACGCTAAGAAATCCCCCGGCCACCCTCGGTGCCCCTGCTGCCCTTTGGTCCTGGGCCCCGGTGCCCTCAGGGAGACAGCACCAGGCCCAACAGCCTCTGGTCGGCGAAAGCCTGACCACAGCAGGTACGGGGCGGGGGCGGCCCGGGGCTCAATCAGGGAGCGTGTGTGTGTGTGTGTGTGTGTGTGTGTGTGTACGCGCAAAGGAATATTTGGAGGCGAAGCGGCCCTTGGGCATCCGGGCCCAGCGGGTTCCGCCCCTGGCCAGGCGGGGTCCGCAGTCCCACAAGAAGCTCCTGTGGCCTAGTCCGCTTCTTCCCACCTCCAGAGTCCTCCACTCTGCGGACTGCGCATCCCAGAGAAGCCCCAGGCCCAGGGCAGGCGCGGCCAGTTGCAGCCACACAGACCCGCCAGCCTCAGAGAGCCAGGGACCGGCGGGCGCGCACCGCACCCGCACCTGCTCGCCGGCACCGGCCCACATGACCCGGACCTTACCCTGGGATAAAGGTCTGCCGGCCAGCGGGGCCGGCTCCTCAACGCGTTGGGCGGCAGGAGGCTCACTTCGCACGCGCAGAGTATGGCCCCGCATCCCCAGGCCGCGCCTGTCCCCGCCCCCGCGCCCGCCCGCCGGCCATCGCCCCTGCTCCTCTGCCGCTCCCGCGCTTGTCCACCACGGCGGCGGCCCCACGTGCGCGGCGGCGCGCCAGGGCGCATGCGTGGGGGGCGCGCATGCGTGGCGGACGTGCTCGCGCACTCGGCGGTCGCGGCGCAGAGCTGCTCCGCGGTGGCGGCGGCGGCGTTAGGTCCGGGCGGCCTTGGGGCGGCCGGCAGAAGGCGGCCGGAAGGAGGAGGGCCAGGTAGCGGCGGCCGGGCCTGGGGACGGCGCCGGCGGTGAGCGGTGAGCGCCCGAGGGCGCGGGACCCAGATTTTGCCCCCGCCCAGGGCCCGAACCGGGGGAAAGGGGGGGGGGCCCTAGGGGGGCCCCGGGGGTCCCCAAATTTGGCCCCCCCCCAGCCCCCCGGGCGGGGCCCCCAGAGGGGGGGTTTCCTTTTGTTTTTGGCCCCCCCCCCAAATTTAAAACTTTTTCCGCCCCCCCGAAGGGGGGGTTCCCCGGGCCCCCCGGGTGCCTCCTTTCCTGGGGGCCTTTGGGCCCCAGGCCCCGGGGGACCCTGCCGCTCCGCTCCGCGCAGCTCTGGCCCGGGCTCCCCGCACTCCGCCCGCGTCCTAGGCGGCTCCGCAATCCGGTGGGCGCAGCAGGTCCTGCCGCTCGCGATGGCACCCGGAGCGGGGTTCTCGCTGCTCCCCGTCCAGGCCCTCTCCGTGCCCTGCTGGGTTTGCAGGGCTCCCGCCGCTCCCAATGGAGGAGATGAAGCAGGCCCCGTGTCCTCGGCGGTGGCACTGGACTGTGACGCGCAGTGTTGGCTGCAGGGCCCCCGCAGCCTTGAGACGCCGGGGTTCCACTTTCGCTGTGTGTGCGCCCCTTGTCACTTGGTTTCCTGTGTACGCGCGCTGTGCTCCCGGGGCTCAGTTGTGGGGTAGGTGAGCCCACGAGCACCTGTGGGTGAGCTCATGGCCCGGAAGCCGCCTCAGACACCCAATACCCGCAGCTGGCTGGAGGCGTGGGTGCAGAGCCCGGAACCCCTCAGAGGTGGGGGTGCTGCCCAATGCCACCTGCCCCTGGCCCTCCTGAGAGTGACCTATCTGGGCCTGAGAGCTTGAAGTTCCTGAAAAACTTGTCGGTTCAGGCTGGCGGTGGGGTGGCGGGTGACTGTCTACACACCTGCCCGTGCCTTCCCATAACCTAGGAGAGATGCCAGTGTGCGGGCTGTGGGGCGGCAGGCTTGGGCTCTGTGGTCACGTTGCCGTGGAACTGTTCAAATGGTCTCTCTCAGTTGAAATGTAACACTTACTTATTCTTACTTGTTTGGAAGGTAGAACTGCAGAGAGAGAGAGAGAGGAAGAGAGGGAGGTTCTGTTGGCTGGGTCTCTCCCCAGGTGCCCGGGGCAGCCGGGGCTGCGCCAGGCTAGAGCTGGGAGTTGCACCCTGGTCTCCCACCTGGGTGAGGGTGCAGCTGGGACTCCGTGGGGGATTCTGGTGGTGCGGGGGGGGGGGGGGAGTAACCAGCACGCCAGCCCCTGGACTCGTGTTGAGAGTGTGGGGCTTGGGTTGGGGTTCGTTGGGTGCCTGGCATGCCTGGTTGTTCCTGTGTCTAACCCAACCTGTGTCAGGAAGTCGTGGGGCCTGTGTGGGGGCTCCTCTGGATCACCTCTCTCTCTCTCTCTGATCTGGGGTTCCTCTGTGGGGGTGAGGGAGTGGCTGAGCTGCAGCCTGGTGTTCCAGTGTGGGCTCAGCACCTCTGTCCAGGATGACTGGCACCTGTGATGGGGGATCTCCGTTGCAGAACTGCCTCTCTCTGCTCCGGCCTGGGGGCGACACTGTCAGCCCCACTTCCTCTGTTCCCGGCCCTCTAACTGCTCTGTGCTCTGGGTGTGCACACAGGGCTCATCAGTGCCACTTCCCCGGGGCGCTCAGCACTGGTGTAGGTCAGTGTGCAGGTCTTGACTGTTTTTAATGCGGTGGTAAAGGATATTTCAGGTCTCAGTATGTAGGAATACAGTTGATTTTTGTGTATTGGATTTGCCTCTCCCGTATTAACTCCAGTAGCTTTGGGGTGACGTCGTGGGGCTGTGTGTTGGGCTGCTGCTTGGGTTGCCTACGTGCTATACCCTGGGCCCTGAGTCGGGGCCAACTTTCCCATCCCTCTTCCCGCTGTGTCCCTGGCACAGCACTCTCTCCCTATGTGCCTTGGGCTGCATCCCAGGACTCCAGGGTCGTGACCTCCAGGCCTTCTTATCCGTCCTAGGGCCAGCATCTGTCACCTCTGTGCAGCAAGCTTTCCATCTGTGGTCTTGCCCCTGTGCTACGCCTGCCACCACAAGTGCCACCACAAGGTGCCTTGGCCAATTTGCTGGTTCCCTGTGTGTGACATCCATCACATCACCGAAACAGTTTCTTCATTACAGCTTCTCTTTGATTCTTTTTTAAGGTTTTATTTTATATTATTTTTTAAAGATTTACTTATATATTTATTTGAAAGTCACAGTTACACAGAGAGAAGGAGAGGCAGAGAGAGAGAGTGAGAGTGCAAGAGCGAGAGCGAGAGCTCTTCTATGCACCGGTTCACTCCCCAGATGGCTGCAACAGCCGGAGCTGGGAAGATCAGGAGCCAGGAGTCAGGAGCTTCCTCCAGGTCTCCGATGTAAGTGCAGGGTCCCAAGGACCTGGGCCATCTTCTACTGCTTTCCCAGGCCATAGCAGAGAGCTGGATCAGAAGTGGAGCAGCTGGGACTTGAACCAGTGCCCATATGGGATGCCGGCACTTCAGGTGGAAGCTTTACCCACTACTCCACAGCGCTGTCCTCCAAGATTGTATTTATTTATTTGAGAGATATAGTGACAGATCTTCCATCTGCTGGTTCACTCCCAAACTGCTGGGTCTGGGCTGGGCCAGAGCCAGGATCCGGAGCTCTCAGGGTCTCTGCTGCAGCTCAGGCACAGCAGCTGTGAGCGGTGCCTCCCCTGAGGCATAGCCGGCTGGTGCGGATCTCACCACTTTTGTTCTCGGGACTTTGAGCCTGGCATTAACTGTGAGTAGACTTTTGCTTCAGGTCGGCATCTCCCTCACCTTCCAGGTGCTCTGTGGACTGGCTCTGAGGTTCACTGTTGGCCCTTACCAGGATCGGGAGTGAGTTCAGGAACCCTGTGGTGGGAGTGTGGGGGCCAAATGGCTTTGTCACACTTTTATTATTGTGCTTTTTTTTTTTTTTTTCAAGATTTATTTACTTATTTTGAAAGGATTACAGGGTGAAGGGGATGTCCCATCTGCTGGTTTACTCCCTACATGAGTACAACAGCCAGGGCTGGGCCAGGCCAAAGCCAGGAGCCAGGAGCTTCCTCCAGGTCTCCCACATGTGTGCGGGGGTCCAAGGGCTTGGGCCATCTTCCACTGCTTTTCCAGGCTGTAGCAGAGAGCTGGATGGGAAGTGGAGCAGCCAGAACTGGAACTGGTGCCCATGGGATACCGGCACTGCAGGTTGCAGCTTTACCTGCTATGCCCCAACGCCAGCCCCACCCTGTTTTTCTTGGCTCTGGGTTCTGCTGTGTTGTGGGCAGAGAGGAGCTTCTCTTCCTTCACCTCTTTTGGAATTTGAGGCTTACCCTGGGTTCAGTATAGGTCAACTTTGGTGAACGTTTCATGAGTGCTGAGTTTAAATGTAGCCTGGTGCAGGGCTTTCCTGGACTGACAGGCACTGTGCAGGGCACTATGTTCTGCCCCGGGCACTGACCCTGTGCCTGGTGTGTGTCAGCAGCGCCGCAGCTCTGGCTCCAGTGCTCCTCTCACTCCTCAGCTTCCATGGCTTCCAGACCCTTTCAGAAGCCCCGGGTTCATGGCTGAGGTCTTTGTTCTCTTTGGGGTGGAAACAGCCTGTTTTCAAAAAACTTTGGTAAATCAGAAATCAGCAGCTTTTCCCTAATGTGTGTGTGCTTTATCACTGTTTCGTGTATCTGTGTTTATTTGTTAATTTATTAACAAATAGACATCAGTGTTTTTCTGTCCAAAGTTATTGCTTACGGGCTACAGAAATGGAACAAGAAAACATAAATGGAAACAAGGAGCTAAGTCCAGACTCCACCACCTACCATTGCTCAGTGTGCCATGGGGATGAGACCTGGGGCCATAGTCTCCCCATCCGGGGCCGGACCAAGTCATGTAGCCTATCGGCCTCACCTGCCTTGGGCAGCACCAAGGAGTTCAGGTATGGGCGTGAGGCCTCTTCCCCTCCCGTTCATGATGTGATTTATTAATATGGTCATGAAGAATCCTCGAGAATTGAATATTGAAGCCGACCAGTGCTACTAGTGTGGTTTCTTTCCAGAAGGTGGACCTAGGTGGCCACCTCCCGAGTCAGTCCAGACCACCCAGCTCAGCTCAGCCCACATTGATTATTGATTCTCTCTCTCTCTCTCTCTCTTTTTTTTTTTTTTAGTGTCAGAGGTAGAGAGAGGTCTTCCACCTGCTGGTTCACTCCCCAGTGACCACAATAGCCAGAACTGAGCCGATCCAGTGCTTCCTCTGGGTCTCCCACATGGGTGCAGGGGCCTGAGCACTTGGGCCATCTTCCTCGGTTCTCCTAGGTCATCAACAGGAATGGGAAGTGGACCAGCCAGGACTGGAACCAGTGCTCATGTGGGATTCCAGCACTTCAGGTGGAGGCTCAGCTGACTGCCTCACAGTGCTGGCCCCCACACTGCCTTTCAGTATTAGACTTGGTGAGGAGACCTCTGTGTTCCTGGTCCTTTAGAGAGGCAAGGGCCGGAGGGCACACCTGGGCAGGGCCTGTCACGTATGTGTCTGCCCACCTGCCCCTCCTGTGGGCCACGGCACTGCTCTTGCTCAATGGTGCTTGGGCAACAGCAGCCAGACCTCGTGTCCAGGAGGCCTGACAAGCACGCGGCTGTGATGGTGACAGTGGAGGCACTGAGCTCACCAGGCCCTGCCCCTCAAGGAGGGCTCACACCTGTGCCAGCCAAGGAAGAATTCTTTGGTGGAAAATGGTTGTAGTTTTTGTTTTGTTGTTTGTTTTTAAAGATTTTTTTGGAAGGCAGAGGAAGAGATCTGTTTTCTAGTTCACTGCCCAAGTAGCCACAATACCCAGGGCTGGGTGAGGCCAAAGCCAGGTGCCTGGAACTCCAGCCTGGTCTCCCACATTGGTGGGTGGCAGGGGCCCAGATACTTGGGCCATCATCCACCGCCTTCCCAGGCTCATTAATAGGGAGCTGGATCAGAAGCAGAGCAGCCAGGATTTGAACCCATGCTTTTGATATGGGAGCTGGCATCACAGGTAACAGCTAACCTACTGTGCCACAACCCCAACCCTGGAAAGTGTTTGTTTTTTGTTTTTGTTTTTTTTTTTTTTTTTTTTGACAGAGTGGACAGTGAGAGCAAGAGACAGAGAGAAAGGTCTTCCTTTTGCCATTGGTTCACCCTCCAATGGCCACCACAGCTGGTGTGCGGCGGCCAGCGCACCGCGCTGATCCGATGGCAGGAGCCAGGTGCTTATCCTGGTCTCCCATGGGGTGCAGGGCCCAAGCACTTGGGCCATCCTCCACTGCACTCCCTGGCCACAGCAGAGAGCTGGCCTGGAAGAGGGGCAACCGGGACAGAATCTGGTGCCCCGACTGGGACTAAAACCTGGTGTGCCGGCGCTGCAAGGCAGAGGATTAGCCTATTGAGCCACGGCGCCGGCCTGGAAAGTGGTTTTTAAAGCAGGCCACATTTGGGGACCAGACTGGAACTTGGTGGGCAGCAGCAGCCGGTCTCTGGCAAGGGTCCTCATGGCGTTGGCACAGTTTGCCCCAGAGCAGCTGCTGTGGTATTGAAACTTGGTCCCTGGTACCTCCAGGCCATGGCGGTGCCCTGGGTTATGCCCCGACAAAGCTGCGTTTTGCTTTTGGTTTCTGTAAGTTTTTTGGCACTGTTGCCTTCCTGTCAGGACCCTGGACCTGGGGATACAGACAGCAGTCAGAGGCAGCCTCTGGAGAGCCCTGAGTGAGACAGGGGAGGGGAGCCAAGCCCCCAAGGTGCCCAGGATGAGTGGAGGAGCCACACACCTGGTTTCTGGTTGTCTTTTAAGTTCCTGGGTCCAGTGTGTTTTGCAGTAGTACACTTAATTATCTTTAGAAGACATACGTAAGCCCAGAGCACGCTTGGTCCAGAAAGGCCCCAGGTGTGGCCACAGCCACCAGGTGCCCGCTCTCCAGCGTAGACACTGGGACACTGGTAGTGGTTGAAGACAGAGAGCAGTGGGAAGCTCCCTTCTGGCCGTCATGTCCAGTGCCCCTGGAGCATCCTGCTCCAGTGGTCAGGAGGTCACAGGTGTTGCCTCAGCCCATTGACCCCTGCAAAGGAAGGAGCAGCAGCCCGGGGGCCTTTTCCCAGGATGCCATGAGTCAGGTCACTTTTCACCTGTTGGAAAAGTTGTGCCCTTCAACTGCTGTCTTCATATAGTTCAGGGTAAATGTTTTTGTTAACATTAAGTTTTTTTTTTTTTTTTAATTTATGTTTTTGAAAGGCAAACAGAAACACAGAGGTGGGCATAGTGATGTGCCATCCTCTGATTCACTCCTCGGATGCCTTGCAGCAGCTGCCATCCAGGTCTCCCATGTGGGTGTCAGGGGCTCAGGGTCTTGAGTCGTCCGCTGCTGCCTCCCAGGGAGTGAGCAGAAGAGGAGCCAGGACTGAAACCCAGGCGCTGTAACCCCCATGCCGATGCCTTCCCCTCTCCAGGCCACCTGTGTGTAGGTTCTGACCTCTTGGACCCAGAGACAGGTTCTGGGAGACCTCCAGGAATGCAGACCCCCAGGCTCATCTCAGAGCTGGCATTTCCCTCGTCTGGGCTGGGAGTGTCTCCTTCTGCGCTGAGGAGCCCAGGGCCTCCAGGGCTGGCTCTGGTGCTCCTTGGAGTCTGGGTTGGCCCCTGTCTGTGTCTGTGGCTGCACATGCATGTTCTGATGGTGGCTGCACTGTGTGTGCTCTCTGCAGAAAGACACTCTCTGCATGGCCCATGCCCGGTGACCACTTTTGGACCAAAGGCCTGCATGCTGCAGAACCCCAGACCATCATGTGAGTTGGGGTCCCCAGGAGGGTGTGTATCATGGGGTGGCTGTGGTGTGGACAGAGCAGTGTGTGTTTCAAGTCACTTAACAAAGCCACACAACAACCCCGAGTCCTGCTGGCTTCTCTGGTGCCTTCAGAGTGGCGTGAGCCAGCTTCCGCCGAGCGCCAGCGTGTCCTGGTTTCTGACTGCTCTGATCTCGGGTGCAGGGTGTAATTATTCTGAAGATAGAGAAACACTAATTAACTATTTCTTTCTGATTGTGCTTGTTTAGAAGATACTTTCTGTCTCGTGGGCGCTGCTTTCACATGCTCTGTGGGGCCACGGGAGGTACTGGCCTGGTCTGGCTGCCTGGTGTTTTGGTGGACCAAGGCCTCTCGTGTCACTGGCCTTGACAGCATCCTTAAGGACTTAGCAGTAGTGCTGCCTCATGACACCGGCCGGCCGTCGCCCTCCCTCAGTCTGCTGTGTGCTTGACAGTTCTGCTCCCATGTCCCATGTACCGGTCCTACTGTGGTTTGTGTTTTTAAGGGAAAACTACCAAAATGATTTAAACATCAGCGTTCCATCTTGGCTCAGAGAGTTTTATTTCACAATTTCTCCAGAGAAATCCTTGGTCTGTGAGACTCTGGCATTGAGGGGCCGTGGTCTTCAGGCCCGTGTGCAGAAGCCCTGGTGTCCCTGCAGGGTCTCCTTCAGGGAGTTGGGGACAGATCGGGGAGGTTGTGCATGCTTGGATCTGACTCTGTGAAGAGAGGTGTACGTGAGATGCGAGAGGCGCTTTGACATGTAGTGGGGGCTGGGGCTTTGCACCCGGGACCCCCTGGGCAGCACCGTGCATCACCCATTGGCTCCTTGGGGTTAGGACCTCACCATTGGGCTGGATGGGAGCTGTTTGTGGGGCTCTTTAGGCTGCCCCCTGCAGGCTGTGCCCCACCTCGCCCCACTGCAGGGCTGTCCAGGCTTCCTGCTACCCAGTGACAGGGCAGGAGCTTTCCCGCCCCCGTCCATGCACAGCTCCTTTTATTTTGACCCCAACCAGGGAGGGCTGTGTTGTGGGCAGGCCAGCCCTCACCACCTCAGCTCCCAGCTATCTGCTGTGACTCCATGTGGCAGACACGCGGGTCCTCAGGGGCCAGTGTTCCCCAAGGCCAGAGCTGCAGCTTCTCTGTTGCTGCCGGCCTTGCTCAGTCTGCATGGCTATACCACCCTCCCATGTTTGCTCCTGGCCAAGAGTGGCCCCTCCCTGCACTTCTTGGTCTGGGCAGAGGCACCCCCTGGTCACCATTTCATGAGTTAAGTGGCCTTTACCAGCTCAGCTCCTGGGGCCAGGCTCTGCCTTAGGAGCCTGCCCCTGAGATCCCTCGGGCTGAGGTACAGGGTGCTGGGAGCTGCCCCTAGGATCTGTGGCGGCCAGGCCAGTGGCTTGCTCTGCCCACCTCTGGCTGTGCCCTCACTACCTGCCATGGCTTCTGTGGCTGTGGCAATGACTCCCTGGGGACCTAGCCTAGTGGTTTCCCTGAAGGCAGAGGCAGGTGTCATGGGCAGGACAGCTATGAGGAATTTGGACTTCCTGTCTGAGAACCAGCCTAGATTTCACCATGAACTTGGGTTTTTTGTTGGCTGTGCTGTGAGAAATTGCCAGGTCATCTCAGTGGTCAGAACAGAGCTGTCCATGCCGTTGTGACCCCGCTCTGCCTGTCCTGTACCCACAGCTATGGCCCTGCAGGGTCAGCACCCCACATTTCAGATGACCCAGCAGGAAGCAGAGGATCTGGCTGTTGGTCCTCCCCAGGAAGTCCACTGGAGTCAGAGCTTCACTTGTGACCTGGGCGGAGGGCTGCGAGCCATCCACAGGCCCCGAGGCCACTGCCCAGTGCAGATCGATCGAGGGCTGGGGAGTGAATGCCCTTTCACCTGCCAATGGCCTGAGAACTCCCACGGGCTGGGCCAGTTCTACAGGCCAGATGGAGGCTGGCAGAGCTGGGAGGCTGCACACTGTGTGCCACAGCTGGGCCCAGAGCTCAGCAGAGAGCAGGGTAGCTTGTGGCCTCTTGCTTTGTCTGTTTTCACTTACTTGAGAGCCATAAAAGTGGAGAAATCTTCCACCTGCAGTAGCTCAGACCAGCCAAAGCTGGGAGCTGGGAACTCCATCCAGGTCTCCCATGTGTACGGCGGAACCCAGTCACTGGAGCCATTGCTGTGCCTCCCAGGGTCCAGGTCAGCAGGGAGCTGGAGTCCAGAACTGGAGCTGGGCACTGAGTGCAGCTCTCTGATGTGGGACATGGGCATCTTAGCTGCTGGGCTGAATACTCTCCAGACACTGCTTTTCTCGGCAGGTAGGGGATGAGGCAAGAGGACTACGTAAGCAGCAAGAATACTTTATCTTGTTTGATTTTTATAACTTCAGGGACCTCTTGGCCTGTGTTTAGAAGACCTCACCTTTAACAAGCTGCTCTGTAGCGTGCTGCTCTTGGTGTTGATGGTGCAGACACTGGGCTGGAAGCGTAAGATGCGCAGTCAGGAGAGTGCTGGTGTGGCAGGGCTGTGCGTGCACCTGTCATTAGCAAAATGTGACCATGATGCCATGGACAGATTGGCTGTCTCCTGGAAGGGGGCAGTGCCTTGCGAACCATGTGACTGACAGGGTGGACAGTGAAGCCCACGGAGGTATCATAGGTGGCTCCACACCCCCCAGAAATGCCTGGACATGGAATGCTAGGACCAGGTTCCCATGGTCATTGGTTCACTGAACATGGCCAGACACTGCTGCTGCCATAGGCGTGTCTTTGTTGCTCCCCTGTGGGGTGCATCAGCACTTTTCCCCACCAGGACAGCACTGGGAAGGAAACTTCCTGCTGGTCTACACTGCTGTTCTGAAACCCAGACAGGGAGCCCCAGTCCCCTCCTCCCTCAGCTCCTGGACAGCACGGGACACAGGTGCTGCTCCCACTCATATTCCTGGTGCCCTGGACCTTCACGATAGTGGGATCCCAGCAAGATGGGAGGCAGGGCTCACTGCACGGCGGTTGGCCATCCACACGGCATGGATGGCTGGGTCAGGGCAGTGGCGCTCACACCAGCACTTCCACTGGCTTTAAACCAGAGGTCCTCACTGTGAGAAGTGCAGGGAGCTAGGATAGCACTCTGATGTGGCAGGCAGGCCCTGGCCGGGGCAGCAAGTGCCTGTCCTAAGGGGCCTGAGCGCAGTGTCCCCTACCTGCTGGTTTGGATGTTTTCAGGGGAGCCATTGTCCCTGACGGATGTAGGGTTGCAGGCCACAGGCTTCCCCTCAGTGGGCTCTGTGAACAGTTGTCCCGAGGAGGCATCAGGGGCATCACTGAGGGACTAGCAAGTGCTGGTGGGGTTGGGGCTGCTGAGGTGAGTGATGGGCACCGTCAGTAACTGCAGTCTGGTGCGGCTGAACATGGGAACTGAGTGAGCAGGGCAGGGTCTTCCTGCTGGGCCGAACCCTGTGCCTGTTCCCATGGGCCAGGGCTGCACTGCCAGGGACTGCCAGTGAGTGCATTTGTCCAGGGGTGTACCATGTGTCCTGTCCTGTCCTGTCTGAGGGGCAGTATGTGGCTGGCATGAACCCTCACCTCTCCCCAAAGGCATATTCAGGACCCTGCAAGCCAGCAGTTGACGTGGAACAAGCCCCCAAAGAACGTCCTTGTCATCAAGAAGATACGCTACACCCGCCTGCTGCAGCTCTTCAAGGAGTTCTGCGTGTACCTGGTGCAGGCAAGTGAGGTGGGGGCTGGGGAACCCCGTGCACTTTGTCCCACTGAGGGCACGCCCAGCCTGGCAGTGGCTCATTTTTACAGAGGGTGTATCCTGGATGTGGTTCTGAGGGTCATGTCTGGTGACGGCCTTGCTGCCAGAGTCCCAAGGTGGTGCAGGGTGTCATGTGGGACCCATGTCTGCCTATGTCAGCTGGTCTCTCGCCTTACAAAGCCGCACCCTGATGGCTTTATCTAGGCCTGATTGCTTTGCAGGGCTGCACCCCTGTGCCCTGGGCAGGCTGTGGTTCCACCGTCCCACTGCTGCACAGCAGCTCTGATGCCCTGACAGCTCCCTCCCAGCTGTGAGTCCTTGTCCGGCACCCCTGCAGGGCAGGCCTCACCTCATTTTTGAGTGTTTTTTTTTTTTTATTTGTGGGAGGCAATCTGTACAGACAGTTCTTGCATCTGCTGGGTCCTCAGTGACCTGCAACAGCCAGGGCTGCATCAGCCTGAATCCAGGAGCCAGAGAACACTCTGGGCCTTCCAGCAGGGTGGATGGAAGCGTTGGAACTGTCATCCCAGCAGGGTGGACGGAAGCGTTGGAACTGTTGTCCCAGCAGGGTGGATGGAAGCGTTGGAACTGTCATCCCAGCAGGGTGGACGGAAGCGTTGAAACTGTTGTCCCAGCTGGGTGGACCAAAGTGTTGGAACCACCGTGGCCGCCTCCCAGGGTGCACATTAGCAGGAAGCTGGGGCCAGAGTCAAGGGCATTTTGCTACGGCATCTGGGTGTCCCCAGCAGTGTCTTCACCCTGTACCCAGCACCACCCTGGGCATCTTGTGCACCAAGAGGTGAGGGGAGGCCCCTGCAGCTCTGCTGGGCATAGTCCCACCTACAGCTCCACTAGGTGTTGCCTGCAGGATGACTGCCTGCTGTCTGGTGGAAGCCACCATGGCCCTGTAGCACTGGCCTTCCGGAAACCATGTGGACCCCAAGTGTGCAGTTGCCACCTGGGCCTGCTTGAATGGCTGTGGCCACAAAGTGCCAGAGTTTCCATTGCACGGTGGCTCTGGGTGGTGAGCCAGAGAGGGGGTTGCAGGCCTCCCAGGACCCTTCTTGGAACAGTTCTGCATCACAGGTCCCTGGCTGGGGCTTCCCTGTCCTGGCACCCACTGACCGCTCTGCAGGAGGCAGCTTGGCCTCACCCACCTGCTTTCCTTCGCTCTGCTGCTTGGCAGGCTTCAAGGTGTCCAGGTCTTCATGCTCTGCTTCCCTTTGACCTCAGATTGCACTGAAGGCAGCCAGAGCCACCCACACAGTCCTCCTGAGTCTGTCAGATGCCTCTCTGGCCAGGGTTGCAGCTGTGCCGAGTACCTGAGTGCAGAGTCCTCATCCAGGGCAGGGACTTGGCTCCTTCAGGCTGGCCTCTGCTCCCACTCCCCTCCCCCTGGGTCTCCACCCACCCAGACCCAGCTTTGCCTTGGCCCATGCCTTGCTCCTGACAGTGATCATCTGTCTCCAGGAGCTGTGTTCTGCACTCAGGCTGGGTTTTAATGGATATAGGTTTGCTTGGCCTCTGGTTCTGGTCTGCAGCCCCTTGGCCATACCTGATGATGACCTGGCTGGTGAAGTCCTGAGGCCATATGGGGCCTCATGTGGCAAGAGTGGTCATGTGGCCTCTGGTTCCCTCTTCATGGGAAGCCATGAGACCACATCTCATCCCAATCACCTCCTGAGGCCCTGCCTCCTCCCAGAGGCCCCACTTCCGCACACTTTAGTTAAGTTTCCACCCTCTTAGCACCACTCATGGTTGTTCACACCTCATGGTACTGGCTGGGCTGGTGGAGGTTGTTCACACCTCACCTCACTGGCTGGGCTGGTGGGGTTGTTCACACCTCACAGCACTGGCTGGGCTGGTGGGGGTTGTTCACACCTCATGGCACAGCCAGGCTGGTGGGGTTGTTCACACCTTACGGCACAGCCGGGCTGGTGGGGTTGTTCACGCCGCACGGCACAGCTGAGCTGGTAGGGGTTGTTCACACCTCATGGCACAGCTGGGCTGTGGGGTTGTTCACACCTCATGGCACAGCTGGGCTGGTCGGGGTTGGGGTTGTTCACACCTCATGGCACAGCTGAGCTGGTGAGGGTTGTTCACACCTCATGGCTGCATCTGGTCAGGGTTGTTCACCCCTCACAGCTGCATCTGGTCAGGGTTGTTCATACCTCACAGCTGCATCTGGTCAGGGTTGTTCATACCTCACAGCACAGCTGGACTGGTCAGGGTTCACACCTCATGGCACAGCTGGGCTGGCCAGGGTTGTTCACACCTCACTATCTCCTTTCTAATGATGTATGCTTGTTAAACTTTTACTCGGCCTATGTGTTTGGGGTCCCATGCACTATTTGTGTTCCCCTCAATAAAAAGTGCTGGCTAAGAGCCATCATCCTCATTGCTCTTCTGATGGAGGCTCCCATGCCTTGTCTTTTCATTTGAAAACCCAGCGATCATATACTTGTTTTACATAATGAAAATACTTACTCTTGTCTTAATTATTCTTATAATAAGCCATGTTATAATTAACTGTTGCCATCATGGTATACAACAGACCTCTTGAACTTATTCCTACTATGCAAATGAAATGTGTTCTCCTTTGACCAAAATAACTTCAAATCCCCTCCATGTGTCTTTACGTTTCAATGGTTTTCCTATAGACAGCACAAAGTTACATCTTGGTTTAAATTTTCCTATATAAGTCTCTGTCTTTTAATTGCCAATTTAGAAAATGTACATTTAAAATGATTATTGATATAATTGGTATAGTATGTGTTATATTTGCTATGATTTTTTTTATCAGGATTAGTTTTTATGTCTTATTAATTATTCATTTGAAATGCTAAAATGCAAAGGGAAAGAGATCATCCAGCTACTGTTTCACTCCTCAAAACTTTACAACAGCTGTGCTTTGGCTAGGCTTAAGGCAGGAGCCAGGAAGTGCATCCAGGTCTCCCCATGAGTGGGACGGGTCCAAACACATGAGCCATCAGCTGTTGCCTCCCAGCGGGTGCATTACAGCAAGTTGAATCAGGAGTCTTGTGCAGTAAATCTGTAGTAATAGAAAAATAGTGAATATCACCCAAATACTTTTCTGTAGCATAGATTTTATTGACAACATTATGGTTTTTTCTGTGCTATATGGCAACTTATTTGAGCAATCATTCTTAAAATAATAAATCACTTCTTGGCAGCAACATTTTTCACAAAATAAGTAGGAAATGAATGTTTCCATTAACATAAGGATCACTACGTGCTTAACCATTGCCAATCAGTGTAATTGTTAGTGCTTTTCAAGGAGGCCTTCCTTGGCCCTTGTCATGTGTAAGGCACTATTCCTGCCCAGGGAAGCTGATGGGTTTTGTTTCTTTAACAAATATATCTGGTATTCTGTATTCCTTTCTATCATGACCTAGCTCCTAGAGTCTAGGAGCAAACCGGACAAGTTCTTTCACACCTCCACTCATCTTCTCTTCCAAGCGCCCACTACATGTTTCCAAAGGCAAAGCAAATGAGCACACATCCAGTAAGCCGTTTATTTCTCAGTTCATTTTACATTGTGATGTAGCAGCTTTGGAAGATTTTTAATTAAAATGGGGAAAATGAATATGTGATAATGTAAAATTGTCATGATTATGACATTAGAGCTATCAAACCTGATAGCAAATTTGTCTCCAGGTTTTTTGAGGCTATAACCATGACATACTTGTTACATGATTCAAATTGGAACTTAAGAGTTTTCTAAATTTTTGTGGGATAGGAAGCCTGAAATTCTAAGTATTGGTCTTAAGGATGATATGGTGGAAGTGGTTTAGTACGAACCTGGAAATAAACACTCAATATTTTGCAGAGATAGGAGTTACCTAGTGCTAAAAAAAAATTACTGAATAAGACATTTTTGTGAACGAATTGCTAAAATAGTGTGGCTCCTAATAGCATTTTGGAGGCTGAATGGGATTCATGGGCAGGGCCAGGGATGTGTAGAGAATGGAATCAGATACATGTTCTTTTTAAAAATATTTATTGGTTTATTTTAAAGGCAGGGTTACAAAGAGAAAAAGAAAGAGAGATAGATAGATGATAGATTGATAGATTGATAGATGATATATAGACTGATAGAATGAAAAAACTGAGAATGAGGAGGAGGATGAGAATCATCTGCTAGTTCACTCCCCAAATAGTCACAATGGCCAGGATTGGGCCAGATCAAAGTCAGGAGCCAGGAGTTTCATCTGGGTCACCCACCCAAGGACATGGGCCATCATTCATTGCTTTTGCTGGAACATTAGCAGGGATTTGAATTGCAAGTGGTGCCAGTGGGATTTAAACCGTCATCCATATGAGATGCCAGGATTGCAGGTGGTGGCTTAACCTGTAATGCCATGATGCCAGCTCCAGTGACAGATTCTTAAACAGCCTTACATATAATTCTACCAGCCAGTCTATAGATTTAGGTTGTGTTGCAGACTTTCGAAAGTTACATCTTTAGGCAAATCATTCCATTTTCATTTGTACTTAATGAGATTCATAGTAGTTTCAATTAAATTATTCATGAAGTATAATCAAAGCCAAAGGCAGTTTTCTAGGTTTTTCTTACTTGAATATTCTTCCACATAAAAATGAATTATATATTTGAGAAGTAGAAAGACACAGAAAGAGTGAAGATAAGAAAGACAGCACCATTTTGGCATAATGAGTTAAGCCACTGCCTGCAGTGCTGATATTGCATATTTAGACCAGTTCAAATTCTGTCTGCTTCACTTCCAATCCAGCTTCCTGTTAATGCACTGTGGGTACCAGCAGAAGGTGCCCCAAGTGTTTGGGCCCCTGCCACACACTTGGGAGTCCTGGATGAAGCTCCTGGCTCTAGGCTTCATCCTGGCCCAGCCTTTATTACTGCGGCCATTTGGAGAGTGAACCAGTAGATAGGAGCCCCCCCACCAAAAAAACCCTGCTTTTCAAATCAATAAAATAAATCTTAGAAAAGGAAACACAAATGAGAAAGTCACTTAAAAACTGATTCACTCTTCCCAAATATCCACAGTTGCCCAGGCTGACACAAGGTTAAAGCCAAGAGACAGGAATATACTCCTGGATTCCAAAATTGGTAGCAGAAGCCCAGTTACTTGAGCCATCACTAAGGCCTCACAACACCTTTATTAATAAAAAGTGAATCAGGAACAAAACCTGGGATCAAACCAGGTAATTTGAAGTAGAATTATTGTGACAAGGAGATATAAAAAGGGAACTCACTGAAAAATAATTCATCACAATTACGTAAAAATTGAAAATAAGAATACATGGAAATATATAAAAAGCCATGACAATAATCAGGAAAATTTTCAAGTGAAGTTTCTTGTATCTAGAAATACTCTTTAAAATTTAACAATGGAAGGTGCATTTATTGTTTCATAGAAATCAGGAATATACAAAATATATGTGGGCCTTTAAAGGTAAAATAATCACATAGGATTATGATGTTTCTGATACATGTTTAAATGAAAGTGAACAAGAGAAATTAGAGAACAGTAAGCTCAGGGACCACAGAATTAAAATGTGACAAAGATGCCCTATGATTCACAGACCTAGGAATGGTTGACAGTAGAACAATTATGATGTATAATCTCCTGGAAATAAATTCAAAACAAACCTAAAAATATGGTTATGATTGGCTTTCACTAGGACATTGATGATTTATATAGGTGATAGTAGTAAATCTAAATAATAAAATAAAAAGATATATCTGTTATAAATCATATGCTAATTACTAGAAGTAGTATCCAGAAATAGTATGGGAGCAATAGTAAGGTAGTGGCAGAAAATGGGAATTTGCTGAACAATACTCAGTTACAATTAAATAATAATTAGATGCAAAAAGGCCAAAGAAAACATCAGGCCAATTATCAGGATAATATTAAAGATACACAAATCAAGAACTATAGCCATTAATTTCATAATTCATAAGTTATAGTCCTATGAAAAAGTAAAGAGTACATCATTTTGAAAGAGAAAGGTTACATCTGCTTAAGAGAATGTGTACAGGGTTGATACCCTGATGCAGTGGGATAATCTGCTGTTTGCAACGCCTAGATCCGACATCAGAGTACCAATTGGAGTCCTGGGTACACTTCTTTGGATCCAGATAACTTCTGATGTGCCTGGGCAGGGAGCAGGTGATAAAGTTGTCACATACCTGCCACCACTCATGTGAGAGGGCTGGTGGATTTCATGGCTCCTTGTTTGGTCTGACACAGTCATTTGGGGAGTGAAAGATTAGATAGGAAATCCCCTTCTCTCCCTCTCTCTCTGTATCTCTCTCATTCTCCTTCTTTCTCTGTAACTCTTCCTTTCAAATAAATAAATAAATAAACATTTAAAAAATAAAAGAACTCACATCTAGAAAAGTGCATGCACTCCAAAATGGATACTTATATATAGGATACTAAGTTTCTGGATATAGAACATGGGCATTTTCAGAGACAATGGTCAATTTAGTGTTCCATAAAAATCTTTAGCATATAAAAATATATATGAGCTAGGGGCCGGCGCTGTGGTATAGTGGGTAAAGCTGCCACCTGCAGTGCTGGCATCCCATATGGGTGCTGGTTTGAGTCCCAGCTGCTCCACTTCCAATCCAGCTCTCTGCTATGACCTGGGAAAGTAGTAAAAGGTGCTCCAAGTCCTTGGGCCCCTGCACCCACATGGGACTACCTGGAGGAAGTGTCTGGCTCTTGACTTTGGATCGGTGCAGCTCCAGCCATTGTGGCAAATTGGGGAGTGACGTATGGATGGAAGACTCTCTCTCTCTGCAGGCGTGCACCTTCTAGATAGGTTAATGCCGGCGAGACCTCAGAGACACCAGACGCGTTTATCGGCTTTTCAGCTTCCACTTTATTTTTTCAGCAGACTAGTGTTACATGTCACATACGCCCGCCATCTTTGCCTCCTCCAACCCTCTTATATATCCCTCCCACCGTCCACCTGCTTATATATGATTCGCGGAAAACATGTTACCAACTCAGCAAGAAACAAAACTTAGTAAGTGTGGGAAACATGCAATAACAGGATGCTTAAAGTCAAAACAGGATCTTGCAATTAGCAACGGGCAGGGTGGAAAAAGCCCAGCACTAAACTTCTTGTGCTTGTACATATTGGGAGGGGCACAGCTGGCCAGGCTGTCCCGTTCCCCGACATCTTCCCCTTATTTCTTTGCAAAATGGAGTGGTACTGTGCCTGTCTTAGGTGACCAAGAGCATCTATCGGGCTTACCCGTCATTGGCACATGAACATGAGGTGTGGAGGGAGCGTTCATGCCCTGTCTTAGGTTGCCTTGAAGACCTCTCAGAACTTACATGTCTTTGACTACCGGTCCAGCAGATTCAGCCACACCTGAATCTGTCCATTTCGCATGGGGTACTGGTTATTGAATGTTAGCATGGCTTATTTAACCACCATTTGTGTATTATGCTGACGCCTGAACAGCCCTTGCAAGATCCGAGCAATAATTGATCCTGTTATAAGCACAAGAGCCAGCCCTATAATAGCGGCCCATTGTTCAACTGGATTCCAACTACCATTTAACATGCTACCCAAAAGATGGGACTGATTAGCGGCAAATGAAAAGTGGTTGTAGGGGTAGGTGGTAACACAAACTGCAGTAGATCGAATAACACAGGGTATGCCAACCAGGCCTAATCTTGCAATAAATCCATTCATTAACAGCTGAATAGCAGTATATCATCAAGTGCCTGGGCGGTAGATCTTGTGATGCTATCAAGTGTGGACAGTGTGGAGGTTTGGCTCACGGCCATGCCAATAGCGGCCGCACCAGCTGATAACGCCGCAATTACTGCAACAACGACCGCAGTGACTCCAAAGTCTCTCCTGTGTTGAACAGCCATAGAGAAGTCCTTCTCAGACACCGCAACTGGTATAGGAACCCAAATAGGAATCCGCACAGCCACCAGTGTTTCCGCTTCACTTAATTTTCCTTTAACACATGAGGAAATAACTCCTGTAGTGCAAGTATTATTAGTAGCATTACAGCGATACCGAAAGAAGGGAGGCTGAAGGCAAACGGGATGATACATGGGTTTCCTTGGGTGACGAAAAGGCAAATCAAGAAGGTGCAAAGAAATTAACATTAAGGAGCAACAGGGAATCGATCAGAGGTGGACAGGCATCTGGAGAATTGGGGGCGCCTGAGGAATGCAAGAAGGAAGTGGATTGGTAGGAGGGTAAGGAGCAAATGGTCTGTGACACTCCTGGCACCTGAGAGGTAGCGACTCAGATCGAAAGGCTTTAAGTTCCCCTGTAATATTGGCTGTGTAAGAACTACCTGACTCATTCCAGTTGATAACATCTCCCATGGAATAAGTGGCCAAATTAATACATGGTGTAGGAAAGCCAGTATAATTATAACCACAAAGATCTGCACCAAACTTAGGCTTATGGAAGCATAGCGCTCCTGAAAGGTGGATGGGTAAGTTAACCTGGCCCTGATGGGAAGAATTGACAAGACTGTTGTAAGGCACTCCGAATCTTTCACCTATGGTAGAGTTATGCAAATACACAACTGGCAGAAGGTTAGAAGAATTAGAAACAGGTAGAAGGAGAGGTAGGGCTCTCAAGAGACCCCAATACTCATCCAGCTTGGCCATCGTCAGTGACAGTTGCATCATTATTAGGAGTAGGATCACGATCATTTTGCCACTCTATTGTTCTTGTCCGTCTTTCTGGAGTCCAGATTGGATTTTTTTCTTCCTGTGGGAGAAAACAAACAGCGCCTCGTAGCCTTCTTATTAATGGGTATGGGCCTTTCCATTTGTTATCTTGTGGGTCTTTCCACATAATCATTTTTCTAACATGTGGCTGAGCTTCTGTCGGTTCATGGGGTTTATTACTATTGGGGGTCTGTTCCAAGATAACATGACATTCTGCCGGGGTGAGACCATCAGCTTTTTTATTTAAAAAATTTATGGTAAGTAAGGCGAGGTTGAGAATGTCTTTAGGGGAACGGGATAGTGCCCCTATTTCCTCTTTTTGTTTTAATACAAAATTTTTCAGATACAGATTAGTGCGTTGCACAACGGCTTGTCCAGTAGGATTATATGGGATGCCGGTTAAATGAGAGATATGAAAAGTTGCTAAAAACTCAGCAAAAGCCTTAGAAGTATAAGCAGGTCCATTATCAGTTTTTATTATATTAGGAATTCCCCAAGAAGCAAAACATTGTAGCATATGTTGCATTACATGGGAAGTGGACTCTTTGGCGGCGGCGGTAGCCATAACTACTCCTGAGTAAGTATCCACCGTAACATGGACACAGGATAGCTTGCCAAAGGCAGAGATATGAGTTACATCCATTTGCCAAATGTGACATGGATAAAGGCCCCGGGGATTAGCTCCAGTGGGCATAGTAACAGGCTGATGAATAACACATTTTTCGCAATTTTGGACAATAGATTTAGCTTTACGAATAGGGATATTAAACCTCATACTTAAGGTCTTACTATTAACATGCCAAAGTTTGTGATATTCTGTTGCCTATTCCATGGCAGTGCAAGCTAAAAGGAAGCGGGAATGTTGATCGGCAAGGGTGTTTCCCGCGGTGAGAGGACCTGGCAGGGAGGTATGTGCTCTAATATGGGTGATAAAAATGGGATCTGATCTCCTAAATAAAGCGTGCTGAACAAGCTCAAAATAAGGAAACACTGTAGAATTTTTGGATATTAACGAAGGGGAGCCTAGCCTCTTAACAGCATTAACAACATATAAGCTATCAGAAATGATATTAAGAGGACCCTCAACCATATTTAATAACTTAGCCACTACAGCTAGCTCTGCATGTTGAGGTGAGGGAGACGCAGTAACTGCATGATGCACCTAACCTTGTAAAATAGCCACCCCGGTACCTCCTTTTGCTCCATCAGTAAAAGCTATGGGTGCTTTGGGAATGGGATTAGAATAAACTCTTTTAAAATAGTGTAAGGGTACCGTGTTGCAAAATCTAATAAAGGAATGATTGGGATAATGGTTATCTACACTTATGTCAAGGGTGATGGTGATGTGGGACCATTGCCAAGTTTCCTTAGCCCACTCCTGAATGACTACAGACTCTAATGGAAGAATGCAGGACTGTGGTCTTCTCCCTGCAATTTCTACGACTCGGTTGATGGCTTGTAAAATTAAATTTCCCATAGCCTCCGCACAGGAGGTAATAGATCTGGGCATATGGTTACGTGGGTATATAAACAACAACGGTCCTTCTTGCCAGAGTAAAGCATAGGGATAATGACTTTGTATGAACACCAAAATACTTAAGGGCATAGTGGGGTCACACCGCTGCATAGCGGTGCTCTTAAGGCACTGTTCACAAATTTTTAATACTGCTTTTGCCTCCTTTGTAAGTTGGGTGAATTTAGGCATGCATCACCTTCCAGAAGTCGGAACAAAGGGCGCATTTCTTCAGTAGTCATTTTACAATAAGGCCGAATCCAGTTTAAATTTCCACACAATTTTTGTAAGTCATTTAAGGTTTTAACATGATGAGTGGAGATATTAAAATCAAGAGGCTTTACTGTGGTAGGGGTAATCCGTAGTCCTAAATATTGTACTGCAGGAACTCGTTGAATCTTTTCAGGGGATAAGATAAGATTATAATTGTTTAGGGATTGCTCTAATGCAAAGAAGGCTTTATCTAATTATTCCTGGTTAAGAGCAGCCAATAGAATATCATCCATGTAGTGTACTACTGTCATTTGTGGAAATAATTTTCTTACAGGTGCAATTGCCTTAGCAACATATATTTGACATAATGTGGGACTATTAGTCATTCGTTGTGGCAATACCGTCCATTCAAAATGAGCATTGGGTCCTATATGATTTATAGAGGGAATTGTAAAGGCAAAATGTTGTCTATCTTCCTTGGCTAGGGGGATAGAGAAAAAACAATCCTTTATATCAACTACTATTAGTTTCCATTCTCTAGGTAGCATGGTTAAAACGGGGAGGCCTGGTTGAGTGGCCCCCATAGGTTGCATTTGTTTATTTATATCTCTTAAATCATGAAGTAGGTGATATTTACCTGATTTCTTTTTAATCACAAAGATAGGAGTATTCCAAGGAGAAGTAGATGGCTGAAGATGTCCTGCCCCTAATTGTTCCTCTACTAAGGTTTTTACAGCAGCCAATTTTTCCTCTGTAAGGGGCCACTGCGAAATCCACACTGGCTTAGAGGAGAGCCAAGTTACAGGGATTGGCTGCGGTGCGGTGGCCCCTCCTGGAAACCCAGTCCATGCCTGTCCTTTTCTCCTTTTGGACTAATGGGCGTTGTAATACCCTGTTCCCTAGCTCCCAGGCCTCCACCTTTATATCCCATTCGTGTCATGATGTTCCACGCAGCCTGCGATCCTTGTTGTTTTCTCTTTTCATTAGTCAAGGTAAGTCTTAGTTCCTGTAGGATGTCTCGTCCCCACAGAGTAACTGGCAGCTTACAGATATATGGTTGGAACTGTCCAGAATGGCCTTCATTGTCGGTCCAAGTGAGGATGCTGGCACTCCTAGGTGGAGCATGGGTAGTACCCAACCCTACCAGTGTATTCTCTGACTCTTGTGTTGGTCAGGAGGGAGGCCAGTCGTCTGCGGCTATAATACTTACATCAGCCCCAGTATCTAACAAGCCTTGTATTGTTTTTCCCTGAATGACAAGAGGCCAAAGTAGTCTGTTTTCCAATGATAAGGAGAGTGCTGCAAAATTACTTCCTTGTTTAGATCTCTAATATTTTCCCAGCATAGTAGTTGTGCTAGGGGTCTGTCATTATCTACAATAGCTGCACCTAAGGTGGCTTGAACGATAACTTTAGGTTTGCATGTGGGGAAAGTTACTATTGCTGGCTGAATTTGGAGTCCGCGCTGAAAATTGGTGGCTCATCCAATCACTAGTCTGAAGCCAGTATTGGGAAGAGAATTTTTAGTAGGGACTACATCAATGATTTGAGGACCCATAGCTGGAGTTAATATTTGAGACTCCGTTGGCT